TGCCCAAAAAAGAATAGCAGCATCCCCCAGACTCATGACCTACCTCTATGGCCACTTGATTTTGCCCCCAGTCCATCCAGCCCACAGCCAACCTGGACCGGACCGATGACCTGGTGTACCTCAATGTCATGGAGCTAGTGCGGGCTGTGCTGGATCTCAAGAATGAGCTCTGTCAGCTGCCTCCTGAGGGCTACGTGGTGGTGGTGAAGGTGAGAGCCATCGACGGAGCTGGTGGAAGCTGCTCATTCTGGCCCTGGGTGGAGGGGGGGTGGCACTGAGCTTCCTTGTCTGCCCAGCTGGTGCCTATCCCAGAAGGACCCCCTTTAGTGTGAAGTGGTCTGAGGGAATTTAGTGCCAGGTAGTCTTGGAGGGCAGGTACCATCCCAGGAGGGCTCTTCTCCAGGGACACATGGCTTTCTCAAAAAGCAAGAGATGATAGTCACCCTACCCCTTTCTCACACAGAACGTGGGCCTGACCCTGCGGAAGCTCATTGGGAGTGTGGATGATCTCCTGCCCTCCTTGCCGTCATCCTCTCGGACAGAGGTGGGTGTCCTCATCCCAGACAGTGTCATCAGCTGTCACTTTTCCCCTTCCCCTGCCCCAGCTGTGCTTCACACAGGAGACTCCGAAGCCCACATGGGCAGCCTCATTTCTGTCTGCCCAGCCTTCCACACATGGGCCTGCACAACAAATCTGAGCAGGACTGAGAGGGGGCTGAGTCGGTGCCTGGGGACCTGACCAGCCTCCTAGGGGGAATTTCCCAGTCTAGGTCTTAGAGAGTTGCAGTGATTTCATAATGCATGAGAGTGTGCAAGGAAAAACAGACCTTCCCTTTCCCTTTCCCTTCTCCCGTCCTGTGACCCCTTATATAATCACCTGCCAGGCTAAGGCTAAAGTGAATGGATCGTCAAAATAGCAGTTAAGGTTTCCTTAGTTGATCATTTAAATAATTTCCCTTTTTAAAGTGAGAAACAATTACTGAAAACTGAAATGAAAGTCATGGTGCTCTGCACTGAGATGGCACCTGTGGTGGACAGAATAACAGCCCCCTCGCAGATGCCCACGGCCTGATCCCCAGGCTCAGTGACTATGTTACCATGCATGACAAAAGGGACTCTGCAGGTGTGATTAAGGATCTTGAGATGGGGAGATTATGCTGCATTATCCAAGTGGGTACAATGTAGGCACAAGGGTTCTAGTGTAAGAGAGTAGCAGAAGCAGACATCCTATAAGAGTCAGATAAGGAGATGGGATGACAGAAGCAGAGATTGGAATAATGCCCCTGCTGGAAGGATCCACAAGCCAAGGAAGGCAGTAGCCTTTGGAAGCTGGCAAAGGCAGGGAAAAGATTCTCCCCTAGAGCCTGTAGAAGGACCATAGCCCAGCTGTCCCCTTGACGTTAGCCCCATAAGACCCATTCCAGCCTTCTGGTCTCCAGGAGTATAAGAGACTAATCTGTGTTGTTTGGAGCCACCCCACTTGTCATGGGTTGTTACCGTGGCCATAGGAAGCTCTGAATGCAGCTGAATGCTGACAATAGCGCCTCTGAACCTGTGTTGGTTGTCTGCCTGGAAACCAGTCGTGGAAGTAGAAGAACCTGATGCCCCCTGCCAGCTTGTGTGAGCCACCATCTCCCATTGGTCAGCAGCATAGCCTAGGTGATGGCTGCGTCACACTGTTGTCCCCATAATCTGTGACTGTTCAAGACAAGGTCATGCAGGAGGGCTTCAGCATTTCCCAGCCCCTCTCTGGGTGGCAGCAGCAGCCTGTAGAGGAGCCCCAGCTGGAGCTGTCCCTTCTGATGTGAGATGTCATTACCCTCCATATGATAGCTCTGTCATTCACTCAGTAAATATCTCAAGGGCCAAGGATGTGCTCAGCAGTGTGCTAGGCTTGGGGATATGGTGGTAAACAAAACCCTACAGCTCAAGCCCTGGTCCCTGGTCTCTTGATTTGAAGGTAAACAGCCAACAGATGAATGTGTGCACTTGTTCCCTGATCACTCACCCTAACCTTGGGCCAGCACGAGGGATGCAACAGTGAAGGGATGGTCTGTGAGGCTGCATCAAACTGAGCTAGCACGGGGTGGGCTGGGATCCGGGGCTCTGCAATGTCTGTCCTTGCTGACCTGGCACCAGCCCACTCGGGCCTTAGACTCAGCCCAAGCCTGGATCAGACCTGTCACCCAGAGAACTTCTGACTGCCACAGCCAATACCAGAGGGGACACCTCCATGGCTTCCCCATCCTCCAGGCTTAAACTTTGCAGCCCCTCAGACTCCCAGCCTCTCCCATGTGCTTTTCTTACAGATTGAGGGGACCCAGAAACTGCTCAACAAGGATCTAGCAGAGCTCATCAATAAGATGCGCCTCGCCCAGCAAAATGCCGTGACCTCCCTGAGTGAGGAGTGCAAGCGGCAGATGCTCACAGCCTCCCACACCCTGGCCGTGGATGCCAAAAACCTGCTCGATGCCGTAGACCAGGCCAAAGTTCTGGCCAATCTGGCCCACCCGCCTGCAGAGTGAGGGAGGGTGGGCGCCACCTGCCTGTGTCTTCTACCCCTGCCTGTAGTGTTACCTCCCCTGCGCCCCGGCCCCTGCCTTGCCTTTGGTCATGTGGGTCTTCTCAGGGGGAAGGCAGAGGGGAGTCCTTCTTCCCTTGCCACTTTGCACGACCCCCTCTCCCCACCCCAACCCCCAGACTGTGCTGCTCAGGCTGCAGCTGGACCGAGGGGACTCAGGGCTCTAGATGCCAGGGGGTGACAAAGAGGGCTCAGAGGGAGCACTGCTGCCGCTGCCACTCCCTCCTCACACCTGCCTGCCCCCCTGGGGTGGGGGTAGGGGTGTCATACTGGTGCCCCTAGTGGCCATGATGGCTTTCTGCGTAGACATGGCACGCCTATTGGAGCCAAGCCATTCCTTCTTCTTCCGCCCACGGAGGTCCCCTGATGCACAGAGGAGCTGGGGACGGGCTTTCCTTTGGGGGTGGGCGGCTGGCGAGATGAGGGACGGGCCTGGCTTTCTTGTACAGTGTATATTGGAATTTATTTAATGTGAGTGTGGTCTGGGCTGACAGCCGTGTGCCCCCCTGAGGGGGGACCTGGGACACAGTCCAAGAACAAGCTATTGGGAGTCCGGGCACAGGACGCTGTGTTGTCAACACGCCAAGCGTCGGGGAGAAGGGGAGAGACGAGGCCAAAACAGGACTTGGACCACAATCTACTCTCTTCCCCGTGCCCTTTCTCTCTCTCTCCTTGACCTTGCCCCTTCCTTCTCTCCCTCTTTTCTTACTTCTCCTCTTCTCCGCCCTCCTTTCCCACCTGCCTCACTCCTCCCTCCCTTGTGTTTGTGCAAAACACTCTTTTACCTTCTTTCTATTTGACTTGTGGATGAATTAAAATTGTACTATTTGCTTTGTGGTTTGATTGTTTTGTTGGCTTGACCTGTTCTTTGTAGGGGAGGGGACAGTGACCTTGGGCCACCGCCCTGGAAGAGATCGATTGTACTCTGTTGGGCACAGATCAAGAGCCGATGCCAGGCTCAAGCACAGAGGGGTGTGTGGTGACACAGGGGCAGTAAGGTCAGGTGTGTGCTCCAGCCCCTTCATCCCTGCACCTGACTGAAGGGTGACTTTCCAGTGGGGACCCAGGGCAGACCCTCCAGGTCCACATGAGGAATGCCAATGGCACCCTCTCAGCTGGCGTGCAAACATCTGGGGCTCCAGCAGGGCTTGAATGGTGCTAGGGATGCTAAGGAAGGGTCCCACAGCTGAATGAGCATCGGCCTCAGCTTTATTTCATCTGTTTACTCACATGCAAGAGGGATAGGAGATGGAATAGCATGAGGGAACATCACTGCACCAGGAGATAAGGTCTGGGAGAGCCAGGATGGGGAAGGGAAGTTGGGAGGAGCTGTGGGGGAGACAGAAACCACATGAGTCACCATGTGGGGGTCTTGGGAAGAACTGAGAACTGGGGGTCTGGGCCAGGTGTTGCAGGTTTCATCTGTGTCTGTCAGGGAGGGTCGAGTGGGGTACCCCAAAGGCTAAAGGGAAACCGGAAGTTCGTCCTACTCAGCTTCCTATCCAGGGTCCCCATACTATCTGGAGAGCTGATGTCCGCATCTATTAGCTGCTGAGGTTCTGTGCTCAGAGGGCTGGACAGGCAGGGGTGAGGCCTGATCCCCGGTCAGGAGCTCCTCCTGCCTCCAGCATGTGGCTGAGGGCTGTGCATTGTTGGATTCCAAGGTGCAAGGAATCCAGGGCTATACAGAGCAGCTCAGAAGCCATCACAGGACTTCAGGAAGGACCAGGAGGCCGGGCTGGAAGGGAAGCAGTCCTACAGCTTCTGCATTTACACAGCAGTCAAGGTGCAAAGCCATCCAGTGGCTTCTTTTCATTCACTCTGTGCAAACATCCTGTGTGCTGGCCACCACCTGCCCTATGGACCGGAGGGAGGAGCAAGCTGCAAACTTGAGTCAAGGATGGCCCTGGGTATCTTCCTGGTTTGCCAATGTGCATTCAAGGACAGATGGTAGGGACTGCAGCATGGCCAAACCTCTTGGGACCAGCTGGCACTGAGCCAGTTTGCAGAAAGGAAGGTGAGAGAAAGCCAGGGCTTCAAATAAGTTTCCAGAAGGGTGGGATGGCCCAACTACCTGCATCCAACCACACATTCTTCCACCGTGCAGTTCTGACATGTGCCTCTACCCCATGTGGCCCTGCTTACCCCTTCTCTCTTTCCAGGGGAGTCTTTACCATTGTTAGACCCTCAGGATTAGACTCTGAACTTTATTCTGTATGGTTTGAAGACACCCTAACCTGCCTTTCCAAACTCCTCCCGCGGCTCCCACACAGGAGCCCTAGCTCACCCTGCCTGTTCTCCTAGACACCTCAGGCTCATTCCTGAATCCAAAATGTTGGTCACAGACCTTCTACCCCCTGGGGCACCCTCTCTTCTCCCCCCCCATACACCCATTTTTTGAGGTCCTCTACCCCCTGGATCATCCTGCTTGCTCCTCCTGTTACCCAGTGTCTTCATTGGCCCCTGCAGGAGAATCCTACAGGGCTTCATATTGTCACCATCATATCGAAAACTTCTGCAGAGCAAGTTCCTTATTTCTTCATTCCTCAGCACCTAAAACAGGGCTCTGTGCCCAGCAGATTCTCTGCATGCAGTACAATAACGTCAAGTGAATTAAGTGACCCAAGGAGTCTTCGATGACTAGGCCAGTGTAGGGACTCCACAGAGAAGCACCTGCAGTCAGATGTCGTTGACTCCATAGGTGTACTCTGAAGGAGGCAGTGGTTACAGATGTCAGTAGTGCCACCTTTGTGTCAAAGCAAGGAACAGGAAATCAGATCATTCCAGCCAGGAATGGAGGAAGAAAGAGTCCAATGGTCCCCAGGAAGCAGACGATGATAAACAACCAGAGGAATATCCTATCAATGACCATGGCCACATACTTCCAGTCTTCCTTCACCTGCAAGTAGAAATGGGCTCACAGTGACAGAGGCCCATTGGGAAAGGGGAAGCATCCCACCTGGGCACAGCCTCTGGGGGCAGCAGTGGCCGCACTGAAACCTTGGGAAGCTAAGGTTGTCTCAAGACTCCAACAAGCCTCTCCTAATGAACTCTGCCCTATTTCACCCTTATGACGTGACCCAGAGCCTTTCCAAAGACTTTCAAGTTCCAGCTAAAGGGGGCTAAGGTGGTTCTAGAACCACCAAGGGGCATGGACTTTCCCAGGTGGCCTGCAGTGATTTAAACTCAACTCCTAGCAGGGGCACCCGGGTGGCTTAGTCAGTTCAGTGTCTGCCTTTAGGGCTCAGGTCATGATCTCAGGGTCCTGGAATCAAGCCCTGTGACTGGCTCCCTGCTCAGCGGCGAGTCAGCTTATTTCTCCCTCTCCCTCTACCCTACTAGTGCTCTCTTTCACATACTCTCTCTCTTTATAAAAATTAAAAAAATAGACAACACCCAGCAGTTACAAAATGGTGAAGACTTTGCCCCTATGTTGCCTCCCTTCCCAATCCCACACCCATTGCAGGAGACAGAGAGGAGGAGGTAGGTGAGGGTACGTGTGGCCCAAGGAAGGTTGGGACAGTCAAGGGGGGGCAGTGTGCTTTGTGGAATTTGGGTTTACAGCCAAGCAAGCAGGTCTGGATTCCTACCTGCCCCCAGATTAGATATAATGATTTTTTTATCCACTCAACAAGGCCACCGCTAGTAACCATCTGGCCTTCCATCCTTCCCTAGGTGGATAAGAAGACATCTGTGATCCTAAGCAGTGGCCTGCTGACCTAATAATACCAGGCACAGGAGGCACCGGGGCGGTGGCGGGGAGAGTTCACCTGGTACAACCAAAGTTCCCCAGGGTTTGTGGATGAATAGTGAATTCCACAAAATGCCCAGAGCCCAGAAACAAATAGGATTGGGGGGAAACCATCAGGACAAAGGAGGAAGGATGCGGAAGCAGCGGCATGATTTATCTGATTTATCATTGGACAATAGTCCCTCCGCCTCCCTCTGTCCCCTTCCCCACCACCTGTAGGGCAATGGTGATAAGGATGGCACGGGGACTTTCAGCACCCGAAATCCCTCCCTCTCTGACTTGCTGTTCCCCAGTTAGCCTTAGCTGGGCATTCTGGGCCGCTAGTCTGTCACTTGCCAGCTAGACTTTATCACAGTTTAGTCCAGACTCCCAAGGGCCACAACTGAGGGAAACAGGTCCTCATGGAGAAGACTAGATGGTCTGTCTACACTATCACCTCGGGATGAGAGGTGGTCACCAAGAGGAAGAGCCCCTCTCCCGTCCCCAACTCACTGAAGAGTCAGCATCCTCAGATCGCAGGTGATCAGCAATGTAGTGCACACCTTCCAGAGCCTTCTGTATGCGAGGTGACAGCAGAAGCCCACCCTCCTGCAGCTGGGCTTCCGCCCTGGGACCTGAGGCCCTTTGGTGCAGACCGCCATGGCTGCAGAGGGCACCCACGGCCGGGGATGAATGAGCCGCCCACACCCATCTATCTTCCTCTTCCTCCTCCCCTTCCTCCTCCCTCTCCTCCGCATCCACGTTGGTCTCCAGCCAGTGATAAGAGGAGCTGGGCTTCAGATCCGGGGGGTCGTGGGGCTCCAAGGGGGGCAAGGGCCGGTTCATCAAGAGCCACCGGGGCACACAGCCCAGAAAAGCCACCCGCACCCAGCGGGGCATAGTGTGGGTGCTGGGGGAGCGGTGGTGGACGTTGAGGACAAAGACCGTGATGACGATAGAGAGCGTGACGAAGATCATGGTGAAGAGCAGGTACTCGCCGATGAGCGGGATGACCAGGGAGGTGGAGGGGATGATGTCAGTGATGAGCAGGAGGAAGACGGTGAGCGAGAGCAGCACGGAGATGCAGAGCGTGATCTTCTCGCCGCAGTCCGAGGGCAGGTAGAAGACGAGCACGGTGAGGCAGGAGATGAGCAGGCAGGGGATGATGAGGTTGATGGTGTAGAAGAGAGGCAGGCGCCGGATGACAAAGTAGTAGGTGACATCGGGGTAGATCTCGGCACAGCAGTCATACTTCTTGGTGTTGTAAGTGCCGGTGGCGTTGACGATGGCCCACTCGCCGCTCTCCCAGTAGTCCTTCAGGTCCACCATCTGCTCCATCTGCTCCAGGTCGATCTTGGCCTTGTCATAGGTCCAGGAGCCGAACTTCATCTTGCAGTTCTGCTGGTCGAAGGGGAAGAAGGTGACGTCGATGCTGCAGGAGCTCTTGTAGATGGCGGGGGGCACCCAGTGCACGGTGCCCGTGGAGAAGAGGTGGGCCTTGGTCATGTGGGTCACGGCAAACTCCCCATCTGCACTGGGGAGAGGAGAGGAGCTGGGGGAGCCAGCACAGCCCACCTGCCCACCCACGCCAGGCTGCTCCAGATGGCCAGCTGTGGGGGACCCCCAGTAAGGAAGCCGGGCCCGGCCAGGTTGATTTACACGAAGGTATGAGGCTCTCCCGGCACACACATATCTAGAGCTGCCCGAGTTGTCTTTCAAATGCTATCTTTTAAAGCGGGGATTTTGAAGAATATAGGAAAATACCAAGAATTCAAAAAAACATCGCTATTAACATTCTGATGTTATATATATCATATGTATTTGATCAACACACTGATCATGTATATAATTTTTTACATATTTATAAATGCATGGAACATGTAGTCTTATGGCCTGTTTGTATTCCTTTAATATTTTAGGGTGATTATATTTTCTCCCCCCAGCAGATAGTGAGCCAGGCCCTCATCTGCAGAGGGGGTCGCATCTTTCCCACCTGGGACCCTTAGTTGCTCAGAAGAGACCTAACACCTTTGCTGGTGAAGGGAGATACCTCCTTGGCTCCATCCACTTACTGGGCATTTCTGCACCAGCCTCATCCCCTAGGGCCTGGGCAGGAGCTGTGGGGGATGGAATGGGAGACACAGGCCTGCCCTCAAAGAATCGTGAAGAAATGCGATGTAGTCCCAAATGCCTGTAACACAAGGGAGGCAGGCAAGCTGGCAACAGTACTCCCCAAAACCCATTGAGGGTGGGGCGGGGCGGTGGGGGTGGACCTCCCTTTTGGCTGGAGTAAGCAGGGTCACCCTGAGAGTTGCCAGTAGGATTGGTGGTGAGACGGAGTGGAGAGCCTACTAGTGCAGAGCAGCGGGCGGAACAGAGCAGAAAGACAGGACTCACAGTGGGTCCTTGGGCTGGGGCAGGTGCAGGGCATAAGAAGGGGTGGTGGGAGATGACACTGTGGCATCATGGGACTAGGCATCCAAGAGTCCACCAGGGCTCTGGGAACACTGGAAGGACAGTGACCATTCCATGGGGCTTGCTGAGAGCCTGAGTCCGATTCCCTGGGGAGGTGGTGCTGTGGCTCCACGCCCTAGTGTTTAAGGGCACAATTCCTTAAAGGCAAGGGAACCAGAAGAATACAGGGGAAGATTGGCTCTTTCCCATGGAGAAATCCCAGGCTAGAGATTGGGAAATGGGAAACTTTAAAAGAGAAGGTTGGAAACAGGAAACTCGGTGGACAGTAAGAAACGGGTCAGTGTAGAAGTTGAATTTTTTTTGCCACCACACAGAATTACCACTAGATGGCAACAGGTACCCCATTTTGAGGAAAGGTGCAAATTCCTCGACCCTCCCTGTTTAGCCTAGAGTGGACAGTCTGGATAGAGGAGACCCTTCTTTAAACGTCAGCAAGAATTGGTTTTGGACTTTCATCCTATCAAAAGAATGTCCTGTTTTAATCAGGGAACACTTGATCGAAGCTTTCTGGACAATCTCAAACTTCAGGTCATATCTGATGCTGGGACTTTGCTCCTGATTTCTCCCAGACACAAAGGGAACAGGAACTAGAAGGATCCTGGGTGCTTGTCCAGGGGTCTGTTAGTCCAGTGACAGGAGCCAACACCAGGCTTAGACCTTCTGGTAATCTGTGCTGAATGTGTGCTTGTGGACATGGCTCAGGGCAAAGGGCTTTGGGTCTCACCAGGATTGGGCGGTGTGAAGGGGTCCTTGTATTCCCCTTTGACCTATCTGAAGATTCCGGAACTCCAAAGTGGATCTATCCCCCTTTATCTTATTGTTTAAATATAGCTCTTCCAAATTCGGGTCAAATGAATTGAGAAGGCCCAGACTACATAGGTCTCTTGGCAGGAGAGCTTCCAGCAACATTGAAAATGCTGTCTTGTGCTAACATTTTCAAAGGACTGGGGCCGGGGTAGGGGACTTCACAACATACAATGTTATTATCCAAAGTTATTTGATCACACGACTGCTTTTCACACCTATTCATATCTTGGAGAACTGGTGCTCCTTAGAACCCCAGGTCAGAAAACACTGTTAGACAAGCATAATGCCAAACATCTTTTAAGTTCTGATTTTTAAATGAACAATTACCTGACACCAAACACACAAATGAAAGACTGGATCTCTATATCTTCTTTTTACAAATATTGTGCTGTTGGTGTTCACCGGGACTCTCTTTCCACTCCCCTGCCTTTTATTAGCTTCTCATCATTATGTTCAAAGATGGCTCTTTTGGTCTTAATGCAAGGAAGCTATAAATAATACAAGTTTAAAAAACATACCCATACCAAGTGAGTTTGCTCCCTTGAGGCTGTCCTCCCTTCCCCTGGGGTGGCCGTTTACCTGCTCCAACAGGACTGCCATCCTGCAAACTGCCAACTCTTAGGCAGTGTTTCCAGGGCCTGCACCAGCCACATTTTTCAGATACTACTCAGTGTTGGCAAATCCGTGTGCCAGGAGTACAGTACCGTGCACTAATTCAGAGTGGGTACTCAGTAAATTTTGGTGTATGAGTGAAAGCACAAAACAAAAGAAAGAAATGAATCAAGAGGAGAGGTGGAGGGGTGAGGATGAGCAATGAAGGAGTTGAGAGGGAGGCAAGGAAGCGAGACACAAGGGGGCACCTCCCAGGTCCAACCCAGCGCAGCTTTGCTCTACCCACCCCTCCCAGGGGCCTCCTGGACCCCGGGCTTCCTACTTGTTATAGAGGACAATGTCAGGGATCCAGATCATCTCCGAAGGGACCCGGAGGGATGTGATGTTGCCGAAATCGGCCGGGTTCCAGTGCAATTTGTAGTCGGTCCACTCCTGTGCGTGGGGAGGGGAGTCGTGTCAGAACCGGTCCTTGGGGTACACCTAAGGCCGCCTGGGGACCCCCTGGCAGCTGGCTTTGGGAGCACCCCAAGTGTCTCCCTTAACCACATGGAAGAGAAAGGGCTGTGAGGCCGAGACTGGGCTCTGAGCTGGAGATTGGGAGTCCAGCCTGTGAGAACCAACCCCCTGCTTTTCCCCAACTCTAATACTCAGAATCCTGGACACACCTGGACCACAGGTCATCCTAGCCCCACCTCTGGTCCTCGTTCTGCTGCCCTAGCAGGATGACCCCAGAGAACAACCTCATCCACTTGTAGGAACAAGGTTTTTTAGTGCCTTACAGTTTACAAAGGATTTCTTACACCCTCTGTCTAGGAAGAGCCTCCATGGGAGAGCTGCGGAGGGATGCTGAACAGGGGAGTATTTCCCCATTTTAATGGGTAAAGAAACTGAGGACAGAGAAGTGAAAGCATCCCCTCCCGGGTTATGCAGCTGAGACTGGGGAGTCCACAGTGACTTCCAAACTGTGCTCCAGAGCACCCCCTGGGAGGCCCAGCAGGGAGGGGATGCTCTGGGTCCCAGGCTTGCTGCCAGCTGCTGGTCCAAGTGAATCCTTCTCAAAACCAGGTTTGTATTACTATAATGTTCCTCTTTGGCATTATCACAAGTGGTGACCAATGTGGATTTGCCTATGTATTTATTTAATGCCACTGTAAGCTCCACGAAGCCAGGGACAACAGCTGGTTCAATTCTGGCACCCTAGCACCACGCCCCGGGTAAATGCTCAGTCAGTGTGTAGCTGAGCAATGAAAACAATGCCTCCTCCCTCTAACGGAGTCTGTTTCTATTTCTGGGAGGGCTTCCCACATCCTTTCTGGACCTGAAAGAAACAACCAGAAGATAATGATTGGGGTCAACACAAAAGGCTGTCCTTTGCTCCCAGGGGCTTTTCACAATTAAAATAATAGCTACTATGTTTATGAACCCAGTTTTGTTACAGGCTCTTATAGATGATTCTTTCTAATCCGCACAACAATCCCACGGGTTAGGGTGAGGAAAGTGATGTATGGAGGGTACGCTGCTAGTAAGTGGCAGCACTGGTATTTGAATCCTGGCCTCCCTGACTCCAAGCCTGACCTCATTCCAGGGGCCATTTTGCTTGTGTACATCTTCACTAAAATAGTCCAATTATACACTCTAGTAAAGGTAAATCCCCTGCATGATGCCTTTTTCCGTCTAAGGATAGTGGTGTAACATTTACACAAGGTATCAACCTGGTAGGAATCCAGGAAGGAGTGAAGGGAAATAAGAGCATTTTCAGGAAGCAGGTACATGAGAACAAAAGCACTGGTCTAGCTCAGTGGTTCCCAAGCTTCAAGCACCCAAGTCCCAGTTTGATACTTTTTACCAATACATGTGCTCTACCTGTATCATCATGTACTTGGTATTTTCCTTTAAGTTGGCTATTTTTAAAATTACATAAATTTTGAAATTTGACATCACTGACCTAAACTAGAAAATCAGGAGCATTTGAAAATATCCACTAAAACATAAATAGAAGACTATTACAAAAAGATTAGCAAAGCAAGTAATACCATCTCACGAAACACTGCCATCGGTGCCCAAACCATACTTGGGAAGACACCGGTCTTGGAGCAGTATTGTCCGCTCACCTGTAGGGGAAGTCTTAGGTGCATAGAGGAGCCAGGGTTGCAAAATAAGGAAGGTTTAAAAAGTTTGTAAAATTGTCAGGACTTCTCAGGATGTGGATGAACAATTTTGAGATTGGTCTTCATAAATGCATCCTCTTCCCCCTAGTCCATCATCTGTCAAGCTTTCAGACTCAATCACTATTTGGAGGGTATCTACACCCATGGGTTACTGTCATTGACAATGGGTTGCCAATGCAGGCAACAGATTATACTGTTCCCATTTAAAAGATGAGGAAATGAGACCGTGATAGGTTACGTGACTTGCATCACAGGGTAGGCAGAGGCAGTGCTGGTTGGCATGACTCCTTCTCCGGGGCTCCTTCCTCTGCTCCCCACCCCAACCCTGAAGGCCAAGGTGACCTGCTTGTGGGGACAGTTATGGCAAGCCAGGTTCTAGGTCTGGCCCCTGCACTGAAGGACTGTGTGGCTTCCCAAGTCCCTTACTGCTAGGGCCTCAATTTGTACATCTGTAAAGATGGGCCATGTACCCCCTCGCAGCTGCAAGGGGAACAGTGTCAGAGGGGTCCCGTCCACATGTATCACCTAAGCATTCCATTGTAAGCTAAATGGCCAGTAGAGAGCCCTGGGGCCAGGGAAAGTAAGGTGTTCATTCAAAAGACTCAAAATAGAGATGTCAATAAAAATTTTGACCATTGTGGTTTTCTGAGTGCCAACCTCTGAGATAGGAGATGATCAGGTTACCAGTGGGGCAGGAAGAGGGAGTAGTGGGGGGAAAGTAGGCAGAGGGCTAGTTCCTCTTTCTCATGTTCCCCCACCACCTCTACTTCCGCCTGGGGAGCGGCTGGGCAGAGCATGAGGGGGTAAAGTGGGAAGGAATATACTCAGGCTGTAATATAGCCTATGCCCCCAACAATAGTACATCAAAAAGGGATACATTCTTTGCCAGAAGTGATGCTAGGCCGGGAGGCGGCTTCCAGACATTAAGAAACCAGCAGTTTCATTTCCTGTCTCTTGGGACCCTTGCTCTGGGGTCCCTGACCCTCCAGGGGAGGCATCCAACTGTGTGCTGGAGAGAACTCATGAAGAGAGTCAGTATGCCTCAAGAGGGTGAAGGGGCCAAGTGGGCCCAGCTTCCAGACATCCCTGCTAAGGAATGGACATGAGTGAAGCTATCTTAGATCCTCCAGAGCACACCAGCCAAAGGTTAAATAGCACCAAATAACACCACTAGTTGCCATGCAATGTGGAGAAGGCATCCAAACTCCTGGCCACAAAACTATGAGAGTTGACAATGTTGCTTAGGCCATTACGTTCCAGGGTAGTTTGTTAGGCAGCATAGACACGGAACACCCGGCATTCTCGTGCAGAAGGAGCCTGGGGTTCCAAGTTGAGCACACCGAGGGCCCCCCCTTTTCTAGCTGAACCGTACCCGGCTTCAGGCTTTCCTCAGCTGTAAGATGGGCAGAATGAAACCTCCCATGGGTTTTCAGTGACTACTCAGAATGAGCAGATCTGCAAACACAATAGCCAGCATGCAGGAAATGCCTCTCCCCAAAAGGGGATGACTAGGTTGTAGGTGACATTCTCAGGTGCTGGACTCACAGTCTCGCGGTACTGCCCCTATGAGAAGCAGTCTGCAATCGGCCGGCTTTGGGAATGTCCCAAGTGGCAACGCTTACTTGAAACATGAATCCAGAATCCCACTGTTTGTGAGACAGTTCCTGGGAGTGTCTGGGGTCAGTGGCCTCCCACCCCTACTCTTGCCTCAACCAGGGAAGATGCTCTCACCTGCTTTAGCCAGACGTTGGTGGTCATCATCTGGTTCTTCTCATCCTGATCAGTAGAGAGATTAAGAACAATATTGTGATGGAGCCAGCCCCCACCCCTAACAATATAGAGTGGGTTGGGCTGATGCAGGGCCCCTACTCACCAGAAGAACCTCTTACATGACACCCCAAGCCCAGCCCAGCCTGCCACCCTCTTCTGACACTGCCACACTTACTCGAATTCTTCAGGATCACAGGGGCCCCTTGGATCCTTGGGGTTCATGTCAAATAGAACACACAGAGCTCCTAGACAGCCCACTGCTGCCAATCAAGGCCCTATCAGGAGGGGCTGCAGGGCTGGGAGAGTGGGAAGGAGGAGAACTGAAGCTGGGAAGGGAGGGAAGAGGGACTCAGCAAAGGGACCTGTGGTCTGGGGGATGATCCCAAGGGGGAGAAGCATGGGGGGACAGGCGCACCACATCGATGAGTTGGGCAATAGACAGCCCAAAGCGCACGATCACCACATCCGAGGTGTTGGGCACTGGCCGCGCCCAGCGGTTGTAACCCTTAAAGAGGTGTTTGAAGAGGCGGTCCTCAGCTTGGGTATGGGAGGCTCGCTGTGCTGACCCTGTGAACAGGAAGGAAGAGTGGGGTCTCTGGGAGTCCATGGTGGTGGGTGCTCTGGTCCCTCTCCCACCAAATCAGAACCACTCAATCTCAGTGTCCTCATCTGTAAAATTGGGGGCGCTATCCAGAACCTATCTCAAAACACTGTTGAGGATTGAATATAAGAGTGTATAATGGAGCTTAATGAAGCAAGCAGTGCACGCTTAGAGCTCAAGAAATGGCCATTACTCTGTGACTATTAGATACAAAGGCAAGGAAGTAAGAGCTAGAGAGGAAGGAAGAGGCAGTGGAGTGGAGAGGACGCCAGACCTGGAGAAAAGATGCAGCCTTGAACTGAGGAGCCCCAAGGGACAGCAGTATGGGGGAGATACTTGGTCGGTATGGGGTGAGCAGCAGAGAGAAGGGCTTCATGAATCTCAGTGAGCCTTTCATTCCCATCCACTTGTCAATGAACCACTGGCTAATGCCAACCACAAAATCCTCTGCCACTTCAGGCATCCCCCCCATTTTTGCTCAAACCACTGGCTTTTGCTCCTTCTTATCAACCGGGCCAAGTGTCCCAAAATTGATGAATCGCTCAAGACCATTTTTCACCATGTTTTGCAAACAGTTTCACCCTGCGTGCTTCTGCTGCCTGAGCAAGCCAAGGTTACTGTGCTAAAACCCAGAAAAACACATTAACAATAGTTGCCATGTATCGAGCGCCTACTGCATCCCAGGTGCTAGTCACAGACTTTCATTTCATGTGCTCCTCACAACAGCCGGGCAGGTTCACACTCTGCAGATAAACAACCGTGAAGCTGGCGGACGTTCAAGGTGACGCGCCCAGAGCTGTGAGCACCCAGTCACCTTCTCACTGCAGAATGAGCTACTGGAAGTTCCCTGGCAGTTGCTGGGAGCCCACCTGCAGGAGTCTCCTCCATGCTGCATGGGAGCCCACAGGTGTGACGTGATGTCCTAGTGATGATACCCACTCACCTGCTGGGGTCAGAAGGAGCCACCACAGACCAAGCTGTGTCATGGATAGGACTGCAGAGTGGGAGGAGCCCATGGCTTCAGTGGACCGGGGTCTGGCTTCCCCTGGACATCAGAAGGAGGGCAGGCTGGGGCTTTGCTGTGGGTTGGGGCTTGGACCTGCTTCCCTAGTAAGGCTTCCAGGTGCTGACACAGCAGAGCTCCCACTGGATTCCGCACAGCTCCTCTCACTGTGGAACCTGAACAAGCCATAGAAAGAGTCTTAGGGTCATGCCATGGAGAAGGACTCAGGTTGTTTGTTTCTCACATGTTACAGAGCTATGAAAGGGGAGCCAACAGGCCTCCCAGGAGTTGAGGGCTTTGGGCTCTCCCTGGCTTAACTGAGCAACTAACATCTTCCTCTTCCTCTGGCATCAACCAGGTACTGTGCCCTCAGATAAGCCCTGACCCGCTGGACAGAGTGGGTACAAGCTGAGAATGAAGTCCCCATTGTTCTGGACTCGGAGCTGCATTTCTAAAACAGAGATGACCATACTGCAAAGGATGGTCAGTAGAAGACTTCAGGTGTTATTCACAATAGCCCAAATTGGAAGCACCCAAATGCCAGTCAGCCGATGAGCAAACACACAACAGATGGTATGTTCATACAATGGAAGCCTGGGTCATAAAAAGGAATAAAGTGTTGACACCTGCTATAGCATGGATGAACCTTGAAAACATGCAAAGTGGAAGATGCCAGAAACATAAAAACCATACATTATATGATTCAATGTATATGAAATATTTGAAATAGATAAAACTCCGGAGGCAGAGAGCAGATTAGCAGTTGCAGGGGCTGGGTGGGGGGGGAGGGAGAAAAGGGAGTGATCACTGATACAGGGTTTCTTTTTGGGGTGATCAAAATCTTCTGCAGTGATAAAGTGGTGTCCATTGTACAAATCTGTGAATATACTAAAATTCACCAAAATGTCCATTTTCAAAGAATGAATTTTATAGTAACGTGAACTGTACCTCAAAAGAGTTATTATTAAAAAAATAAATACCTTATGGATTAATAAAAAAAATTAGCCAACTTTCTTTAGACAGTAGGGACAATGACAAAGGCCAGAATGTGAATATGGTTCTTGTGGCAAGAATAACACTAATGTCAAAGGCTGGAGTGAGTGTTCAATGTTTTGTAACAAGGGGAGTTGGAGAAAAGCCACATTTTTAAGTTAATGTATTAATACATATAGTAGGTGATTTATAAGATCTGTTAATAGAAAAAAACATTAAATATTACCCTAAAAAGTTTACATATTCAAATTAGCACTTTTTTCTTTTTAACAACACTTCTTATTGGCAGAGTGGGGATGTCTCAGGTTCAGGTACACGTTGCATGTATCAAATGCAGACTCTGTGTCCGGCACCAGCCATGTCCTCAGGACCGGGCGCTGACTCTCAATACAGATGATGGGCATGGGCTTTCTTTTTGGATGATGAGAATATTCTGGAACTAGATAGCCGCGCTGTTTGCACATTTTGAATGTCACTAACGGTAAATTTTTAGGTCATGCATATTTTACCACAATTTAAAAAGAAAAAAGAATATGAGTGAGAGGGATGTTAAAATGTAATCTCCAACTGTGTGAGGGGAATCTGAATTATTATTAGTGGAGGAGTCACGAAACCTCTTCTATCTGCTTCCTTCACATCCGCCAGCACACTCTGTCCCTAGTCTTAGAGCAGTGATTCCATCACTGGTGTTCCATCTCTCCTCAAACCTGTCACACCACCCCAGCTGCCCTCCCGGAGTTTGTGAATGTGGCTCTGAGTCCTGCCAAAATACACTCAGTGACTCAGGGTTTGGACAGGGCACTCAAACCCTCTGGAGTTTTGTCTTATCTATGGTTAAGGATAGCACACTCTCTGCCCTGCCAACCCCTGAGGATGGGTGCAGGGAGGGAGCAAATGGGATCGTGCCCACTACAGCTCCTGAGAAGTGCAGGGACCTGGGTAGGGGAAGTGGTGACTGCTACAGTTATTGGGGCCCAAAGACCCCATGGCCTCGAGCATTGGTGGTTTGAGCCCAACTAGAGGAAGAGGGGGTGTGGGAAGGGTTCCATGTGAATTTCAGGATGTTGGAATGTACTTATTTTAATAGGCTTTTCCAGGGTGTGTTTGGGAAGAAAGGCCATCCTGTGTTGATTTTCTCAGGTTTCAACTCAAAGACTCATGAGAAATTGACAATTACATTGATCTCTGGTGCCTTTCGGGAGAATCTGGCCCCTGACCACCAGCCACCCTCACCCTCAGTGCCACATCACACCTCACGCTTGGCCCACATTTCCTTGGTTGGGGGCTCCTACCTCACTCAGGGGTTCTGCATTTCTTCCCAGCCCCCCCAAAACCCCAAAGGGCAGGTGGAAAAGGCTGGTAGTCCCCAGTGGCTTCTCTGGGGACTAGAAAGAACAGCCCACAGCTCTCCCAGGGGGCCCTCCAGGGGCCCATGGCGGGGGGTGGGGTGGGGGTGGAGCAGGGGATCCTGGCAATGAGAAGCTTCCTCCATAGATTTGCTGTCTCAATACAAACTCCCTCTAGAGCTGCTTCTGTCCAAACCACAAATTCTGGAGCCTAATTATTAGGAGCTCTCTAATGGGAGTGAGGCTTTATATGTACGTGAACTAACATCTCCCTGCGCATCACGCACATGCATGAGGTCTGTGTGCTGCCTTTGCTTCTCTAGCTCCCGGGCACACATGGGTTGTGGTGACTGGGTCTGGGGGCTCATACCCTTGCAGGTACAGAGACTGCCTCCTGGGGGCTTCCTAAAGCAGACTCAAGGAGAAACAAGCACAGCTAATTTATTTCCAGAGAAAGCTATTATTACCAGTACTATAGACTGAATGTTCGTAGTCCCCTCTGCCAGTAAATTCATATCTTGAAACCTTACTCCCTGATGTGATGGTATTAGGAGGTGGGGGGCTTTGGGAGGTAATTGGGTCTTGAGGGTGGAGCCCTCATGAATGGGATCAGTGTTCTTATCAAAGAGACCCCAGAGGGCTTCCTCCCTGCTTCTACCATGTGAGGACATAGGGAGAAAGCATCATCTCTGAACCAGGAAGTAGGCTCCTATCAAACACCCAATCTGCCAGCACCTTGGTCCTAGACTCTCCAGCCTCCAGAGTGGTAAGAAATGAATGTCTGTTTATAAGCCACCCAATCTGTGCTATTTTTTGTTATAGCAGCCCCAGTGGACAAAGACAACCTAACTGCTCTTTTCCAATCCTTTTTTCTGTGTATATACAGATCACCTGTGTTATCTCCGGGTGTGGACATTAGAGGCAATTCTTACTTCTTTTTGACACTTTGCTATATTTTCCAAACTTTGTACCATAAGCATGTACTAGCTACTAAATATTATTATAAAGTATTTTTAATTGAGTGGTGACATCTGCTGGTGTCTTATGTGCCTCCCTCCATCTCACGGTGGGAATGGGGGAAGTGGCTCTCATCCCCCAAATATGTGTAGATTGAAGATTCCATTCTTCTAGCACTGAGTGTTGTATGTAAGTGATGAATCACTGAATTCTACTCCAGAAATGAATACTGCACTGTATGTTAACTACCTAAAATTTCAATTAAAAAGCGTTTTTTAAAAGGACTCCTTTTCTCCATCTGCATGGAGTGCAAGTCATCAAAGTCACTGTGAAAAAGGTGGAAGCAACCCAAATACCCATCAGTGGGCAAGTGGATAAATGAATGTGTTGTATACATACAGTGAAGTATTATTTAACCTTAAAAAGGAAAAAAATCTAATATGTCTATGGACATAGCTGAACCTTAAAGACAGTATGCTAAGTGAAATAAGCCAAATAATAAATAATAATAAACCAAAGTGCAAATATTATGCTTCACTTATTTGACTACCTAAGAGTAGTCAAATGGATAAAACAGAATAGTGGCTGCCAAAGGCTGGGAAGAGGTAGGGAGTGGGGAGATAGTGTTTAATGGGGTCAGAATTTTGGTTGGGGAAAGTGCAAAGCTCTGGAGATGGATGGAAGTGATGGTTGCACAATTAAGTGAAGATTCTTCATGTCACTAAACAGTACAATTAAAAATGGTTAAAAGAGTAAATTACGTATATTCCGCTACAATAAAAAAATGACTTGAGAAAAAATTAGGTAATAAATACTCAAAACTCACCCCCCCTGCCCCCCCAAAAAAGTCAGCTGTGTTCCTGGGAATCACCTTAGGGCTGAGACAAAAAGGAGAACAGAAAATAGATCCTAGCACTGAATTCCTCACATGGGCTCCAAAGTGGAGACAAAAGTTGACAGGGGTTTGGGAAGAGAAGCAGAAGTCACTACTGTGAGCTCTTTGTGGATGGGGACTGTGTCTCATCCACCTGTTATCTCAGCCCCAAGCACAGACCATAATAACAGGGGTTTGCTTTATGGGTTCTAGGTATGTAGGGTCACCCATGAATGTTACGCAGGAGTGAAAGAGGGTTCTAGAAGAATCTATGAAGGATACCCAGGCTTATGGCTTAGTTTAGGGAGCAAGATGACATTGAATACTTGTTCCCATAATCTGATTATTTATGCTTTCATTCATCTTTCCACTTCCTCTTCCATTATAGAGCCAATAATATGCCAGGCATTAAGCTCAAAGAATTGAGAACATGTGGCCTTGAGGGAGACACAGTAGAGAAGAAAGGATGGAAGAAAAATTCTAATCTGCTCATCCACCCCTGCTACGAGGCATGACTTTATTCATTTAGTCCCATTTGTTTCAAAGCCATGCAGAGACATCCCAAGTTCCAGAGGTGTCCCGTGCTTTTTACAACTCCTCACACTGGGAAGCTCTTCGTTGAATCTGATGTTGTATAAGCACCCGAGAGAGGCTTGAGTTGAGTTGAGTTGAGTTGATTTTGGAGATAGATCCTGGTGTTGACAACAGAGACAAATTTCATTAACACCCAGGGGAAGCTGCAGAACAGGTGGGTTTTTATAGGGTTTTTTTGTGGGTTTTTTTTTTTTTAACCTTTCTACATTCATTCAAAACCTGACAATCAAAGGACTCCTTTTCTGGTTCCTCTTCTCTCTTTCATTCTCTACCCTGGATGACACAGGAATCTCACGTGTCCCATGCCTCCCTAATTGACCTGAGATGTCAGTGACAAATTATTACCTGACACCATCTCCATCATCTAGAAGTTTCATTTGCTTGTTAAAATGAAGAAGAGCTATAAAATTCAATTGTTCCTCTCCACCAGGACATATCCTGAAGATTCACTGCTTTGAGTTAGCTGTGACAGAATAAGAAGGGCAAGTGCAGGGAAAGAGGATGCCGGGGTCCCCTTTGATGATAGCGCCCAAATCTTTTTAAGAAAACTTGCACTTTGTAGTTTTAAGGTTTACAAGGTATTTTCACACTTTTGATCTCATTTGAGCCTCATATCACCCCAGAAGGGTAAGTGGAAGAGATTTTTTTTTATCTCTTTCACATATGTAAAAAAAAATACTAATGCAAGAAAAGATTTGATCAGGAATGTATGGTTCAAAATCGACACAGTTGGGATTCAAACTCAAGTCTTCAGCTTCCAAACTATATAATATGCTGAACTTTTACCCAGCGCCACCAACTAGAAGGGCAATTTGTATGGGCAACTTGGTCCATACTTCCATGTGTTCTATAGATCCTGGCACTATTGACTGCACTGCTAAGCCACTATCAGTACTGAGGTTGGTGGCAGATGAGTGGTGAGAAGAGAAAGCTGTGCCACCCCAAAGCCGTGTTTGCCTGGATCCAGGGTTCTAGGAATTTCCTCTCCATGCAGATGAGGACTCCCTCCTCCTTCTAACCCATATCATGGCCACAAATCCCAAGGCTATGACTTGTTTCACCTCTCAGTCAAGTGCACTAAATAAAAGATTTTTTTTCCCCAAGCATGCTGAAATTGCATCATAAAAGAACCAACCAGAGAGGTGCTGGGCCCTCTGTAAGAACGTGCAAATGGAAGTCAATCGAGGGGCACCTGGGTGGCTCAGTGGTTAAGAGTCTGCCTCTGGCTCAGGGTGTGATCCTGGGGTCCTGGGACCAAGTCCTGCATCAGTCTCTCCGCAGGGAGCCTGCTTTTCCCTCTGCCTATGTCTCTGCCTCTCTCTGTGTGTCTCTCATGAATAAATAAATAAAATCTTTTAAAAGAATAAAAGTCCATTGATTCTAGAGGATGTATTCCTACAAGATGCCTCAAATTTGCCTCCTTTGTAATTAGCCCACAACGGTAATTTCATTACTTTGTCACTGGAAACCACAGGAGAAATTATCCCGGGTAATTGACAGTAATTAGAGTTACCTTCCACCTAAGAAAGATATTAAAAGAGAAAGAACCTGGGACCCTTTGATCCTTTAAGCTGCTGGATTGCAGGTTTGGGGGAGAGGATGGCTGTGAGGTGATGTCCCTGTTTGTAAAGCGGGTGAATGGGATGCACATGGAAACCTACCCCAAAGACACTGTATTTAAGGGCTCAGACACCAACATCCCCACTATTGCTGCTGACACACTTGGGTGACCAGATCACCCTCCATCCCCACCCCAACCTCCTGATTCCTGGTTCCGTAAGTCAAGGTAATTTGGCCTCTTTGTCCATCTTCCTACTGCAGCTGATTTTCATCTTTCCACCCACCAGGCCATGTTCTATTATTTTTACAAGCATCACCTTCTCCAGAAAGCCTGCTTAGATCCTGCCAGCCCGTCTCTGCCATCCAGCACCCTGTCCCCCACTCCCCCATATGAGAGTCCCAACTCTGTCCCAACTGTCAATATCCCAAAGAAGTCCCTTGATAAGAGGAAATGATACTGTTTCTTCTTCCAAATAATTTCATTCCAGGTGCTTAGGGGAGAGAGAGCATATTTCTAGCTTGTATATCTGCTCTGCTCAATAAATTGATCAATCACAGAAGCTTAACACCTCAAGGTCATATGGAATCTTAAAGGTCATCTGGATTAGCACATCAGCCGATGTAGGAATCCTCTCCAACAAATTTCAGCCTCAGAAAACCCCAGCAATGAAGAACTTGCTACCTCCCAAGTCAGTATATACTATTGATGTCTGTTAGTCTTTACTAAAGGATATAGAATGTTTATTTCATGAATAGATAAATGAAAGAATAGTAGTGATAAAGACATAGAAGCAGACTTAATAAGAAAAGCCACTAGCTCCTGAGACTGAGCTACCATCAGTGGAAGGAGTTGAGCATCACTAGGCTCTGAACAGCCCTGGCAGGGATAATCAGAAGATGAATTTTTTTCTATGAGCAGGTGACTTCCAGCACTCTGACATACTCCCCTCCTAAAGTACCCAGAAGCCACCAATCTGCTAGTATCCCCTTGATCTCTCCCCACACACACAATGTTCCCACCCCCACATCCCCTGACACAAGCTTTGAGAGCACCTTTCTTACCTTCTGTGGCCACAGAAGAAGAGAGGTCTTTGAAAGAACACAGAGCCAGCCTGGTTTGGAAATCCTAGTCAGTCAACAAAAGTACCCCCCAAATAGAAAGGCAGGTGCAAGGCAGAGCTCGGTGACTTCATTTTATGGTCCAACAGATGCTGGAGCAGGACACTCCTTGGCAGATGAGGGTGACCTGACTCTGAGAGTCGAGTAGGCTTCCTGGAGAGGGCTGCACAAGTTCTGCAGACAGGTCACTCTGCCTGGGGCTCCCAGCTCTGTCATTCAGAGAGGCTTCATGCAGGTACTACAGAGGAGGGTGTCATGGAGAGCCTGGCACAAAGGCTTCTGCAAGTGAAAGCCAAGCCAGTCCACAAGAGGGACTGCTGGCTTGGCAAGCACACAGACTCATGCTCTCATTCTCTCTCTCTCTCTCTCCCTCCCCGTCTCTCTTTCCGTCTCTCTCTCTCTTTAACACACACACACACACACACACACACACACACACACACACACACCCTCTCTGGAGGGGAGGAGGAGCCTGTGACTATTCAGTCTGTGTCCAGTGGGGACAGACAACAGATTTGCTTTCCCTCTGTCCAGTTATTAAGGTGCTTTTTTCTTTGCTCTGAAAGATTGTGTGCTCTGGGATCACTGCCTGGACCCCCTGACCTCAAAGTGGGGGATCTCCTGGGTCCTGGGTCTGTGTATCAAGAGAGCAGTATAATTTCAAGTAGAATACGACTGAAGACAAAGCCCTGAGTCAGCCAGCCTATGGATCTCTCCTTCCTTTTCTCCTCTGGAGGAAAACCTCTCTCCCCCAGCCAGCTGTCCATAGGACCAACGGGACACTCATGCTGCCACCTGGTTTGGCTGCAGCTTGCCTGTCACCTCCTCAGCTTTCTTGCCAGTGAGTTTGCCTTTGGTTTCCCAGAGAAGCAAGGCCATCCTCCAAACCGTAAACCGACCTCTTGCCTCCTGTCTCACCAGGAATCTTGTTCCTCTTCCCTGTACGGTGAAGCTTGGCCTCTGTGATCTTGATAGAAACCCTATCTACTAAATATCCCCAGGCTTTCTCTTATCTTCACCACTCCTCCTGCTTGATCCTTTTCCTCAGCCCATAAATAAGCTCATTTTCCATCTTGAAAACACTCTTCGAGGTCTGCCCCCTATACCAAGCTACTTGTTTTCTCATCTCCCTTATTTTGTTAAAAGCAAAGTGCCCCAAGTATAACTGCCAAGGTTTGAAGTCTGGCTTTGCTCCTTAAAAGCTGGGTGGTCTTTTGCACAGTGAAGGAAATCATCAACCAAACGAAAAGGCAACCCACTAAATGAGAGAAGATATTTACAAATGATATATCTGTTAAGGAGATCCAAGATATATAAAGAACTCAGAAAAAAAAACAGCCCTCATAAATAATCTGATTAAAAATGGGCAGAAGAATCAAATAGAAATATTTTCAGAGAAGACATCTGAATGGCCAATAGACACGTCAAAAGATGCTCAACATCGGGATCCCTGGGTGGTTCAGCAGTTTAGCGCCGCCTTCAGCCCAGGGTGTGATCCTGGAGACCTAGGATCGAGTCCCACATTGGGCTCCCTGCATGGAGCCTGCTTCTCCCTCTGCCTGTGTCTCTGCCTCTCTCTCTCTCTTTCTCTCTGTGTCTCTCATGAATAAATAAATAAATAATCTTAAAAAAAAAAGACGTTCAACATCACTCATCATCAGGGAAATGCAAACCAAAACCTCACACCTGTCAGTATGGCTAGAATAAAAAAGACAAGAAATAACAAGTGTTGGCAAGGATATGGAGAAAAAGGAACTCTATGCACTGTTGGTAAGAATGTAAAATGCAGCCACTGTGGAAAAGAGTATGGTGTTTCCCCAAAATATTAAAAATAGAAATACCCTACAATCTAGTAATTCTACTTCTGGATATTTCTGGGAAAAAATGAAAACACTAATTGGAGAAGATCTATGCACCCCTATGCAGCATTATTTATAGTAGCTAAGAAATGGAAGCACTCTCAGTGTCCATTAGAGGATGAATTGATAAAAAAAAGATGAGATATACACATATGATGGAATATTACTCAGCCATAAAAAAGAATGAAATCTCGGGATCCCTGGGTGGCGCAGCAGTTTAGCGCCTGCCTTTGGCTCAGGGCGCGATCCTGGAGTCCCGGGATCGAATCCCACATCGGGCTCCCGGTGCATGGAGCCTGCTTTTCCCTCTGCCTGTGTCTCTGCCTCTCTCTCTCTCTCTCTCTCTCTGTGTGTGTGTGTGTGTGTGTGACTATCATAAATAAATAAACAAATAAATAAATTAAAAAAAAGAATGAAATCTCGACATTCACAACATAGATGGAGCTAGAGGGTATAATGCTAAATGAAATAAGTCAGACAAAGATGAACACCGTATGATCTCACTTATACGTGGAATCTAAAAAACAAAACAGATGAACAAGCAAATAGAAAACCAAACAGAAACAGACTTATAAATACAGAAAAGAAACTGGTGGTTGACAGAGGGGTGGGGTGGGGGATGGGTCAAATAGGTGAAGGGCATTAAAAGGGATAAACTTCCAGTTATAAAATAAGTCACAGGGATGTAAAGTACCATAGGGCATATACTCAATTATTTTGTAATAACTTTATATGGTAACAGATGGTAACTACACTTATTGTGGTATTTTGTAATGTATATAATTGTCAAATTATTACGTGGTACACCTAAAACCAATATAATATTATGTGTCAATTATACTTCAAAGAAAGCTGTGTAGTTTTGGGTAGGTTTCTAGAGCTTTCTGTGCCTCAGTTTTCTTGTAAAAGGAAGATGTGACTACTGGTTCCTACTACACAGGCTTGTTGTGGGGAGTGAATGAGTTAGTATAAAGGACTAGAACAGTGAAATAATACATTATATATATGTGTAAGTATGTGTGTATAAATATACATGTGCATTTACACATATGCATGTGATTGCTAGTATTATCTTCTGAGAAAATTAAAAGACATTAAATACAAAAGAATTCACTAAACACCTATATTCTCACTATCTCAAATTAACAAATGTTAATATTTCACCATATGTACTTTCATATTGAGGGGTGTATGTATGTGTGTGTGTGTAAGGAAGGAAATAACCATAGTTTACATCAACTAGGGTTCTTGGCTGTAAGTAATAAAAACCTGTTAATGAATTTAAGCAGAATCAGATTTTATTAAAGGACAATGGGTAGTTCAAAGAAACACTTAGAAAGCTGGAGAACCCGCTTAGGGCACAGGTGAGGAACTAAGAACTAGTGGGACATCTGCCAGACCAGCCAAAATCACAAGCCATTAACCTGCACGATAGGCCCTGTTGATGTAGAACTGGATGGAAAACCTTGCAACATCTGTTACTGGTACTGCTGTCACTGCTGTCCCTGGAAACCAGCCATTCCTGCTGCCGCCAAAATTAATTCTCCTCTATCCCTGCTTCCTTGTGTCACTAGCCCCCAATACAAAGTTCGGGACAGATGCATCTGATTAAGCATGTGCCCATGAATGAGGTGCAAGGAAGGTTGAGGAAGTAGGAATCCAATGTTTTGAGCTCCTTGGGGAAAGTGGGCTCTGTGACCTTCAAGATGGGAACATTTCCAAAATATCTGAAATGAGTTTAAATGCTAAAAAGTGCCCCCAAATCCAGCTTTTGGGCTCCTAACATCATGCACACCCAACTTGCCATAATTACACCTTGGAAAAAAATGCTTACATGTAACTGTTCTAAAAGTTGTCCCTGGAATTTGTTTTGATTCAGTTTGGCAAGATGTGTAGACTCAGAATGATTGTCATAAAGGAAGAAGTTAATACTTACAGGTCTTTAGAAATAAAAACCACAGTGTGCCATGCAAGCCACACAGGGAGACACCAGGGCCAGCCAGGGGGCAGAGAAGCCTAAAGAGAGAGCATCGCCCAGAGTATTTATTAGAGTTTCTTCAAGAGAGGCAAGGCAGGCCAGAGTGAGCAGCTTACAGTTGGATAGTGGGAGGCTGTGGGTACAGTTGGATAGTGGACAGTCTCTAGTTGTCCAGTATCTGGCTGTGGGGTTCTTTTGTACAGGGGAGTGTTGGCTTGGTGTGTGAGAGACAAAGGAAGTGATTGGGGATGTTGACTCAGGGTTGGTTAGAGAGTTTGTACAATTTTTTTTAAGATTTTATTTATTTATTCATGAGAGACACAGAGAGAGAAGCAGAGACACAAATAGAGGAAGAAACAGGCTCTTTGCAGGGAACCCGATGCCGGACTTGATCCCGGACCCAGGATCATGCCCTGAGCCGAAGGCAGACTCTCAACCACGGAGCCACCCAGGCGTCCCTGTAATATGATTTTTGTACCTCCATGAAAACTGGATCCCAGGGATGATGCAAACACTGTGGCCATTAGTTTGGCCCTGTGAGTAATAGTTGCCAACTAGACAAACACAGAATCTAAGAAAACACATATAGTGCACTAACATCAGGCAGCCATTCCTCACAGACAAAAAGTGCTCGTTCTAATCCCATATCTCTAGGCTCATCAGTTACTCCATCCAGCTCGGTATCTAGCCTCTCTGTGCAATGCCCATCCTTGCTCTCATCCTGACACAATGCCATCTGGAAATTCTGTTTCCTATAGAGTAAATCATAAAGTTCATCAAAAGTATACTGTGTATAAAGTAATGGGGTGGGCAGAAAATAAAATAAATTAACCAAGTAAGGAAGAAAATGTTGGCTGGCACCACCCTCACTGTTATAAAAGATCATTAGGTTAGAGCTGGTGTTTATAGCTATCCCCTTCACCCATTCTCCAGAAGAAGCACCTAGTCCATAAAAGAAAAACTGCTGCCCTCTCCATTATGGGAGGATTTCAATGTAACTGGCTTGCCACCAAGTGACTAATTTAAGCCTCTGGATGTGAGCACCCTATCTAGAGCTCAGGATTTGGCACTGCTGTTGGGGAGCTGGGCATTTGGCAATGGCAGCAGTAGGGATCACATCAGGAATGGCATCTATAGCTAGAATCACCTAATCAAGTTACAATGAAGAATTGACATTCTTTAAGACCCATCCATCTTAGGTAAAGTTTGGTGGTAATCAAAGGTCCCTGCATGATTATGGTCTTTGGTGGTGGTTCTAACCCT